CAAGGCATAACTTCTTTTAGTTTCAATATGGTAGTGTCCCTTGGCTCTTTGTAGGTCCTCTGTGCGAACAACATTCCTCCGATACATATGCAAAATCCTATTCCAGTACATACAGTCGCTCCGTTAACACCACTCGTTAAATAGATGTGGAGTTAATATAGAGCAATATGACAATTCTGAGGCGATCATTAGTAAAAGAAATCTTATTACAACAGACACAAACCAGTTGGCCGAGTTATGTAAACAAAGCTGAAATGGTAAATTGGCCACCCCTTACGAATATATGATATATTCAAATTATTTCGTTACCCCCACCGGCGCAGCCCCAAACAGTTTCTGTAGAAACTATCAGCCTTTATTCATTCGAGTTATGTAAAGTTTCTGCTGAAGTGTTTCGACACTAACTGACGATTTTGTTTTTGTGCAAAAATCCTTCTAACGATCACAATTCCTCCTTCAGTATCACTCAGATATTTCCAACATCATGGCTTTCCTTGAAGTAAAGATCATTTTGTCCTGCGTGTTTCTGATGTACACCAACGTAGAAGCATATCAACCGCACCGGGTAAGACAAGTACCAACTGATTGTGCCAAAATACTCTGTAGCATAATGATGAAGCGTCGGATTCCGAAAACAATTCATTGGAGGTTCGATTCCTCGTTGGAGCTTAGATTTATCTAGATTTTGGAGTTATCACTTTGTCCTATACTCTTTAAACACTGATTTAATTCTTTATTAACCATCCAGCCTACATTATATCACCTTTCTTGAATTACTTAAACGCATTTATTTCGAATTGCTTTTGAACTTTAATATATTCATTAACTGTAAAAAGTAAAGTCCCCTGATGAGTGAGCAATCACGAAAGAGGCTTGTAAAGATGAAAGCGTAGTCTTTGTATTTTTCTGACTCAACATATATTGCGCTCTACTTTTATGTATCGAGTACTATTACACGGAAAAATCGAAACGCAGGCTTCCTAATTCGCTACAAGTTAACACTTGTGGAGCAGTCTACAATAATCTGCAGTGGAAAAGTTCAATATTGGCTGCTATCTGGAATTCAGAATCAAGTTCCATAGTTCTGTATTTGTTTGAAAAATAAATGATCAGTCTCAATCTTCTTCAGAAGAGGATTTGAAAACTAGAGTCATAACTCGTAGACATTGTTTCACAATGTTCATAGACGAAAACTCCAGTCTGGAGAAAATTTAGATATAGGCAAGTTCCTGCAATGGTAGATTAGTATAAAACTGATGCCCACCCATTTCATCTTATTGTTGTTTCAGGATCCTCTTCCTCTGGCTCACATCGAGGCCAGGCACAAAACAGTAGTTCAGTATCATGCAAAGCAAGGTAGTCCTGAACTTTTCTTATTACTTCAACAGCTTTCTCATTTTTTCTAATTTTCAATTCTAAAATATTCTCTACAGTGATAAGAGACTGGGATGTGAATAATGTGCACAGCCGTCTCCAGGGCGGTATGAAATTCAATTATGGCTGTCTGACTGTGCCTAAAGATGGAGCGTACTATGTCTTCGCACAAGTGTACTTTCGCAGCGGTGGGAGAGTGTATATTCAAAAGAATCAAAAGCAAGTTTTTACCATGGTTCAACATCCCTACAATGTGCCTGAAGGACCCCACTATACAGGGGGAGTGCTTCACCTAAAAGCTGGCGATGTCATTTCGTTGCAGACCGCCACACTCCTCAAAATTTTCATGGCGTCTGCTCACACTTACTTTGGAGCATTCTTGATTGAGTGAGCCTCACCAAAACATGTAAAAGCCTTGAAGGAAATTGTAGCACGATATCAATAAATGATAAAATGATATCAAAAAGTGTTTAATCGTGTTAGGTTTGTTGTAATGTAATTTCGACAATACAACCGATACCAGACAAACAGCAGTCATAGTATATATAAACAGGAACTAGTGAACGTTAAGGGAAAATGAGACGCTAATCTTCGCTTTTTAAGAGCTTTTTTCTCATTTCTGAAATAGAAACCCCGGGGAAATGTGTTCGAATTTATGATCGATGTATCTACACCATCCAGTGGAATTGTCTTTCATGGAAGAAAGCGCGAGTTCCTCTCATAATATAACAAAGTTTTTTGGACCCTCCAGAATTGTTTCATTGTTTCGTAGTAAAATCATAGTCACCAACAAAGAGTTTGTCTTTAAAGAAAATACTTTTTTAACCTCGATTCTGTACTGGTTTGTACTTTCCTTGAATCATTTTGTCTCTTAAGGGAACCTCCACTCTTTTAACAAACAGTCCTCAAAATCAAGTTGCTTTCTAAGTAATGATTAAAAGATTGTGGACAATGCGAGTCAGAACTGAACTTGTTTCATTCTTAGAGGTGATACTTATTTCACTGGAGATTTGGGCATCCCTCCTCATTTTACTCCAAGGATGGGACAAGCAATTAGTGATTTTTCAAAGTGTTTAGATTGTNTCATTGATTGTATCCTTTATTGATATCGTGGTGCAATTTCCTTCCAGGCTTTTACATGATGGTGTGAAGCTCAAGTTAAAAACGCCCCAAAATAGCTGTGACCAGAGGACATATAAATTGTGACGTTGTCGTTTAAATGCAGTGATATGACGTCATCAACTCTTAAATAACTTAAGAAAGGAGGTTGCTTTTAAGCTCGGTTTTCGAATAAAGAAAGTGTATAGATCTATTTCTTAGGAGCTTTAAACATAGAAGGACTCGGATCCCAGACCTTCCGCCTTTTGTTTTGGAAGCCGACACTTTATCATTTTGCCACAGAATATATGGACAGTTTTTCCACTTGTCTCACCTGTGGAGGTTGAGCAGATATCACTTCGGTGCATATCAGAAAGACACAGGAAAAAATAATTTTAACCTCAAGAGAAGCCATGATGTTGAGAATATCTGAGGAATACTGCTGGAGAAATTGTGCTCGTAAGTAAGACTTTTGCACAACATTAACTCTAGCGATTCGGCTTTCAACTGATACTGGTCAAAAGTGCTTATAGGCGTGCCGCGGTTAATGCGGAAAAACTCTACCTCAATCTGACCTTACCTGGTTGTCTCTGTCAAATAAGTGGCCTGAATAGCCCATTTTCGAATTACCCTTGGACTCATTTTGAAAACGAGTCCTGGTGCTCATTCTTTCATATGATAATAAGTTTTCATTCACATGCAAATTAAACTCATTTTCACAAGATTGGTCGAGCACCAGGCCTCGGTTTGAAGAAGAGGCCAAGGGTAATTCGGAAATGGGCTATTGAAGGAGAGACACGTAGCTCCGAGTGTGCAGTAATATGATATCGTTTTTTAATGACTGTCATTCAATTTCCTATAGTTCACGAGCTATCGTCCGCGAGGTTACTTAACATCCACTGGATAGGAAACATTTACCCCTCTCATTTTTAAAAACCAATTAGTTCCAAAAAGAATGACACAAATAAATTCCATATCTCATTGTGACCTGAGATGAATGGTTTTCTTTTATATAAACATGCAAAAAAAATTTAATAACATGACATTAATTTATAAATTAGACGCACTTGTCCATCGCTATAACGGCCATTGTGTAGCACCTTGGTCAAGAAACTATTGTTTAACTCATCGGTAAACTCATAGAAAATTGAAGTTTATTTCTTAAAAGCGATAGACCGCAATTTTTGTCGGTTTACCAGGATGCTGGGAGAGCACGCCGTACAAACTGAAG